AGTGACCAAGGTTGGATACCCTTGTTCTAAATGCTGTTCAACTGCAACTCCCAGCAGCCCATGCAAACATGACGCTAGATCAGGCATGTCAAACTCGTGACATCATGTGACATCGCGTGACGTATCGGAGCTTTTTCACCATTGCCGGCAATGGGGTAGGTGCGACTCCGGTATGATGAAACCAGCCCGCGGGCCGGCAGTTTGACACCCCTGCGCTAGATGAAAGACATTGGTAGCTGTAAGTTACAGCCCAACAATGTTGGAAAGCTGCAGCTTCCTGACTCCTGAGCTAAAGGAAATGGTAAGACAATCTGAATGATATATTGGGCTGATTTCACTTGAGAATGCACATTAAAAGATATTTATAAACATATTATTGATAAGCAGTAAATAGATATAGAGGCAACATCAACCTTGTTGGTGAAAAAATAAACAGTGGAATGAATCTATTCTTTTCATTTTGCAGATGACATGGAAGCAATTCCTGTCAAACAGTTTGTGAAGCATATCGGTGAATTGTATGCCAACAACCAGCATGGGTTTTCAGAAGATTTTGAGGTATGTGTTAGAAGCTTTTAGAACAGAAAACTCCTTTTTAGTATATAAATGATTGGTTATGATTCTATGAAGAGTCCAAAATGTCTACTCTGAAATAAATTCCATTGACTTCAGTGACCTTACTTTAAGATTGTAACTCTCTCATGCCACTACACTTTCTGATTGGGAAGTAGAAACACTGAAGGAGCCCTTGGAGCTCTCTGAGCTTGGTTGTTTTCTTGCAGATGTTTCATTACTCAAACTAGGTAACATCATCACTGATGCACTGATGGTGTTACCTACTGTAGTTTGGGTAATGAAACATCTGCAAGAAAACAACCAAGGACCCCTCATTTCAACCCTGAGCTACAAATATTCGCCTTTATTGGAAAAACTGAAGTCTGGAAAAAGTAGCAGAGTATCAGTGGACACATCAAGTGGGCAAGGGAGCTGGCATCTAGCAACGTTCATCTCTCAAAGGACAGCCAAAGAAGAAAGTGCTTTGGGTGTGATGCAAGCATAATCATCTTGCTGAGGGCACATTCTGTTGAAAGAATTTTCAAGAGATTGTGAGACTCAGAGAAGTAAATATTAATGTGGCATCTGTGCTGGTATGACATTATAGAACTGGTGCTGGAGCTGCCATAATACCTATATAAATAGAATGAATGAATGAATGAATGAATGAATGAATGAATGAATGAATGATCAGTCAATCCTGTCTGATAATATGTATTAAACTACAATGTTTGGAAGTTGAGAAAGTTGAAAAAGCTGCATCTCACTCAAGGAAAAAACCTGGAATAATTTAATACTAATAATATGATAACTATAATATGGTACTGACCATCAGCAATCAAAACCAAGGCCATGCATGTTGAACACATTTACAGCTTTGAAACACAAGTGCCTGCTGCAGCTGTGTGTTCATCTGACTCCATGTTCTCCCTGGGTTTATAAAATCATGTGGCTTAGATAAACACAGCTTCATGCTTAATGACAGTGACAGACTCAGGCTCTAATCAGCAAAAACAGTTTTTCCAAAAGCCAGTATTAATCGTTCTGAATACTGTGTTCCTTTCAGCACAATTGGGCTTAGAAATAGCTGTCAAGAAGGAGGGATCTTTGAGTTCTCACAGCCAAAAATAGCATGCAGCTGTTGTGTCATCTCTCTCAGGACCAGAGGGAGAAATATGGTTTCAGGGCCCAACATATTTTAATAATCAGGTGTTAAAAGGGCCGCGATTAAATCATAAAAAGCAGCTACACTTACACATAAATGACTGTTACAAGATTGTTGGTTTGATAAGGAGCATTTCTGTGTTCAACCTTGTACAAATAAGGCAGCAAGCATCTTCTTCAACGTGATCTTTTCAGGCATATTCCAGAAGGTTTTTGCTTATTCGCTTAGGCATTGGCTGCACTGCCTCATAGTTTACACACCAACCCCCAAATAATAGGGAAAAAATCCTATTGTGCCACTCATGAGCATTTCGTATTCATGAGGACAGCGGCTGTGCAAGGTGTTAAAAATGATTTAGTCAAATTGACTCTTGGCTGGATGACTGAACAGGAACATTGAGGTATTTAACAATGTTGGTGGTATTCAGGACCAACATTTATCCTCGGGAGAGGAGGAGTTGATAGGACTGATCAAATGCAGTCCCGTCTCCTCAATTATTTATGAATTGAGACCCCAGTCCAATTCATCACAGCTGGTTGTGACACCATTTAATTATTCAAAGTAATCAGCTACACATCTGGAAACTTTGCTTCAGCTGTGTCTGAAATCACTGCCATTAACAAAAAAGGAGGATAGTCATTGTGTGCTTTGGACAATGGACATACCTAATACTGTTCAGTATGTTTATTGACCAATGCTGCCTTTGATTGTTTGCCTGTCTGGCTTTTTGAATTGCAAATTTCCACCGAAGGAAATTTCAACCCCAAAGCCTATCATAATGATAAACTTAAAATGAATTTGTAGAAGAATTAAATAGCATGTTTTTAAGGCATCCCTGTGAAACAAGAGCCAACTCCATATGCCTATAGTCTACATTGCTATATTTTACACTATTTTTCAACGGTGTGGTCATTCTGAAAAAAGCCATATCTTGAAAAGAAGTAGTACATTTATATGTGATTTTTTTCCCCCTGCAGATATGTTTAAAATGTCCCATTCCTGTCATGCTTTCTGTCTGATTGAAAATGTTTTTTATCAGACATTGAAAGAAAGAAACCCTGAGGAATATGGAAACATTAGTTGTGTCTTTTAATTATAAGAGAGATTCAACAATGGAACCAGCAGAGGAACCACCTGAGTAGAAGCTGGGCAACCGTTTACCACAAATGATTACTGCATTGAGTAGAAAATTGCATTAAATGGTCTAATAGGATTCTATGATTTTAAGCCTTTTTTACAGTCCCTTTGAGATAAGGAGGAACTGCAAATCCCTTTTTAAGAAATTAATTTCAGGAGAGTAGAGCATCCAATGACTCTTCTTAAACTTTGTAATCAGTAGAATCAATAAAAGGATCCTTTTGACAACAAATATTAATTGGTCACCAATCTGATGATCTACTCCAGTGATGGCGAAACTTTTAGAGACTGAGTGCCCAAACCACAACCCAAAACCCACTTATTTATCCCATCAGCATTGTGGCGCCCTCAAGGGGGGCATGGGGCGTGGCCCACTGGGGGGGCATGGCTGAGGTCACGGCAGACTGGGTGGGCGTGGCTGGGGTGGGCATGGCCACCTCAATGTTGCTCATGGGGGGACGCCTGTGGGGGCCGGGCAGGGTTGGGGGAGATCCAGGGGGTCTCTGGCAGGTGGGGTGGTGGGCAGGAGGCCCAGCATAGATGGGGGGAGGCACCCAATCCTAGCTGGGACTGTGGGGCCATGGCGCCAATGGGGATCCGGCTTTCCCTGCTCGGAGTGGCCTTTGGCTTGCTGGTTGTGGGCGTGCTCTACCACCTCTACTTGAAGTTGCTAACTGGCTGCTTTGCCTCCTTTATGCTGGGTGGGGTTGCTGATCCTGCCGGCGACAGCGGCCTAATGGACCTGCGCAAGCTGCTGGCAGCGGCGGCGCACGTGCCCACAGAAAGGGGTCTGAGTGCCGCCTCTGGCACGCGTGCCATAGGTTTGCCACCACTGATCTACTCACTCTCTTTTGTATTTTATTGTTTCGCTGAGTCTCTAGTTCTTCACCACAGAGAAACCTCTGTTAAGTGGACTATCAGTGCCACAGACTGTGGATGTTGCAGATGAAAATCCTGTAGCATTTGCATCATTATATTATGCAAATCTGTAATGATATTATGCAAGTGACTATATGATGTGCTTTTCAATTTAACAGACAATCGGGAATAAGAGCCCTTGCCCACTGGGGAGTGGGCAAGGGCTCTTATTCCCGATTGTCTGTTAAATTGAGATTTCGTTCTAATTTGAACATCCATTAAAAGA